TATCAACAACAAAACATTAGGGGTGGAAATTATTATTATTGTGAAATCTAGGTACCCAAGAGAAAAACACATAACTTAGGAAATGTAGAAGTAATAAACCAAAGAGAAAAAAAGTGCATTCCTTGTTAGAAATATCTGTATATGAAGACTCTGGTGTACATATGTAGTTTCCAGGAAAGTCACGTCTGGATCTCAATTGATTTTTTGTCCATTTTACCTTATTTTGAAAGCAATTTAAACGCGATTGATGATTCATGGGATGACAATGATTATGGTGGCAGTGGTGGCGGCAATGGCATGATGATGGTGGTGGCGATGGTTATGGCGACGGTGGGGGCAGTGGTTGGAGACGACGGCGACAGTGATAATGGTGGTGGTGGAGGCAGTGACAGTGGTGATAGTGGCGGTGGTAGTGATGATAGAGGTAGTGGTGTGGCGGTTTCAAATATTATTTTTTTTATTAAAATACTTATGAGAAATAATTTTTAGAAATGATTTGAAAAAGCTACTTCAAACACACCTTTAAATGACTATTTTTCTTGTTAAATTTAAAGTGTTAATATTAATCGTTAGATTAACTTTAAAATAAAATTTAAAGTGATTTCAATCGCGAATAGGAAAAATTATTTTGTTTGTCTTTTAAGATTTAAATTGTAAATTATTTTATTATATATATGTCAGCATTAGTGACATTGCATAACGATTATACTTAATACCGAAAAATATAAATTGTTTGCTAGGAGGGAAAAAGTTAAAAAAAAATTATTTTCATCTCTAATGAAAAAGAAATTATTTTCTATCTTTATTGTTCGATAGAATGCATCAAAATTGAGAGATAAATTTTCTCTTATTGGTATTGAGAGAAAGCAGGAAGAAAAGAAAATTCGTCCCTTTCAAAATTACCATTATACCCTAAAAAATGGATGGAAAGTATTTGACGCGCTCACGTGAAATCAAAGATAATTTGCCACCTTCTCATCCATTGGATTAGAATAGAACACATGTCAGAATTTTGTTGTGCAAATTAAATAGTGGGACCCAGCTCGTCAATCACAACAGCCTGGTAAGTTGAATTATTGGAATTGTTGCAGACTTGCTTCAATTCATCATCATTGTAGTCTGACCCCACACTTTATTATTTTAGTCCTACACACTGAAGGGTTAAACAGTAAAACTGACCTTCTATTCGTGTCGGCTCTTTCTATCTACTTATTTTCCGCCCAAAACTGGACGGCAAAAATTTTGTACGTTTTTTGAAGCAATCCACGCATATATATACATTGAGCGTGAATTTAAAAAATATATTTAAAAATTAAATTTAATAATCTTAATTCTTGATTTTATTGTAAGTTTCAGTATTTATTGAGACTCATTATCTATTCAATAATTAAGATTATCAAGTCTAATTTTTAAATCTATTTTTTAAGTCTATCTAGCATTACTCATATATACTAACAATGCACTACGTGGATTGTACATGAATAATTTTTTTTAAAAAAATTAATAAATAAATATTTAGTATATGGGTACTTGAATTAAATATTATTTCAAATTTATCAAATTTATTTTTTCAGCTTTCATGGTCCACTATAAAATTTTTGAAAATTTTGTATATTTTCAAAAGTTATTGTTATAACTTTAAGAAAAATAATAAAAAAAAAGAAATAATTAAAGTTCTATGTTGTTCTAATTAAATATGTAGTCATAATATTATATTTTTAAATAAAGTGAGTAATATTATATGATAGAATTTTTGAAAGTTTTTTTGAATATTTGTTAAAACTTATAATGACGGATATATTTTTTAAGAGTAATATAAAAATTGACATTCAAATATAGGGAATATATTATTAAAAATGATTTTAGATGTAATTTAAAGATCAATCAAAAAATTTCATAAAAATTAACATTTATATATGGGGAATATATAATTAAAAGTGATCTTAGATGTAATTTAGAAATTTAAATGCATAAGGATATAATGATAATTTAGATATTAAGTGTGGAAGGATAGAATGACCTTTTTAATTATTTATGAGGGTAAAATAGTAAATTAAAAATTTTTCAAGGTACTTTTATTAGTAGTATATAGATATATATATACATACATATACATCACTATCATTGAAATTTTTTTGAATGGCCACATTTTCCTTAAAAGAATATCAAAAGACAACATCAATATGATTGTAGCCAAATGGCTAAAAGTCTTTCCACCTTTTCTGCTTCATACAAAAATTCAATTCTTTTTTTTTATTTTCTTTTCAAATGTCCAATTGCTTTTCTCTTCCACAAAAGAAAATGCTTTTATTATCCACTATCAATTCATAATATTTATAGTTATTAAGGGGATATGAACAATTATCTAAATATAATATTTTTGAATGAGTTAATTTATATAATTTTAATGATTTAATAACTTAACATAACAGAACACGAGATGATATTTACTTTACTTATACGTATATTTTATATTTTTATTTATTTATCCTAAAAATAATTTTAAAATTTTACATGCATAAGATGAAAACTTAAAAGTATTTTAGATAAAAAACTTTTGAATTTTATATTTTATCCTTATAAAGGATTTTAAAGACCACTCTATCTTTTCACAATTAAATATCTAAATTATCATAATATCCTTATATATTTAAATCTCTAAATTATCTATATCATATCTTTTAATTATTTATTTTGTATGTATAAGTATCACTTTTTATAAAATTTTTGATTGACCATATTACCCTTAAAAAATACGCATTATTATATTTTTAATAAACTATTCAAAAAACTTTCATTAATCTAATATCACTCATCATCTCATATGTAAAGGTAACATTATACCTATATATATATATATATTTTTATCAAAACTTTTATCCTTTCATTTCAAAAATAAAAAATAATCATATACATAATTTTTTTAAATTAATTTATATTATATCAGTATAATTCGTCAATCACAATAAACTTTCTAAGTTGTACTATATTTTTAAGTAACAATAGATATTGTAGTGCATTTTTAAGTAAAATTTGAATTTTTTAGAATTTTAATATACCTGATAATATATATATAAAATAATATATTAAATTTTATCTCAATTCACCTAACTAATTCATAAATCTCAATCACAAAATTCTAAAAAAAAATTGAACTTTAACTATTTTTTTATAGTCAAAACAAAAGAATTTGGGAACATATAAAATTTTGATAATCGTATAATAGAATATGAACAATGAAAAATTAAGTTTAATAATTTGTAGATAATATTCAATTCAGATACGCATATATTTAATATATTTTATTAATTTTTATGTATAAATATTATTCACGTATAACCTGATACATTACTATTATATATACATACATACAGACATATACATATGTATATGTATATGTGTTGTCGATTTACACATTGAAACACTAGTTGACCAATCAAATCAATAACCTCATCAAAGTAAAAATTTATTGGGTAGTTTTATTGATCTGATTTGTTGTATAGTGGACTCAGAAGTGTTCCGTGGCTTCCGGCCAAGTACATCATCCAACATCGTACAACGTGGAAATGCAGATCTGTTTTGTCTGAATTTATATGGCGTTTGGGGGGTAACTTTAAAAAAATAGATTTTCTCCCTTAAATAAGTTCATAAGTAGAAAATATAAAAAACACTTTTGCACAAAACTCCCCTCATTTTTACCTTAATCACCTCTATCACCACTGCCATCATATCACCACCATTATCACCGCCACCATTACCTTGAATCAATTTTGCTTTTTTAAGTAGTATTTTTTAAATTTCATAATCGTCTGAAATACTACTTTAATCATTACAAATATTATCCAAACGAGTTTAAAACTACCGAGGCCATAAAAGTACTGATAAAATGTTGCCTTGAGCAGTCACCAAAGTTAAACATAAATCACTGCAAATTGCTTGAAAAAACTTCACTCCACCTTATATGTATTTTTGACACGGAGACTTCTTAATTGCATTATTTAAAGAAAAATGTTATTTGAATCTAATTTGATGATCTAATCTAGGAACTTAATGATATATAATTATTAGATTGGTTGTGGGCATCTAATGATTGCATTGTAATCACATTATTAGGTCAATAGATTATGTCTCACAATAAAGTCTCTATTGTATTGCTCTTATTTAAAATTAGGGGTACAACTTGGATTGGGCAACCCGATTTCAACTCGAAAAAATTAAGGTTTGGGTAAGAGTTTTTAATACTTAGGTTGGGCTTGAGTCAAAAAATCCCGACCTAAATTCAATTTGGGTTGGACTCGAGTTAAGGTCTCGTGAACCCGAGTTCAACTCGAACTCGACAAATTAAAAAAAAATTATATATATATAAAGCATTAGCACTGATTTTTCATTTTTATTCTATCGTTCTCTGTCTCTTTTGTTCTCTTTGCCTCTCTTGTTCTCTCAGCCTCTCTCGTTAAAAAGTTGGTTGAAGTTATTAGTTGTTAATTTAGGTGAATATATGTATTAGATTTATAACAACAAACTTATTTTGGGCTCTATTCGAATTGAACCCGTAAAATAACCCAAAATTATCAGCCCGAATTCAACCCGAGCCTGCCCGAATTAAACTCGGACAGTGCTCGGGTTGAGTTTCCCAACACGAGGGAGGGTTAGGATCGAAAATTATATATTTATGATTGAAGATTATATACCTACGATTAGGTTAGGGTTGATTGTCCAACTCGCCCAAATTGCACTCCTATCTAAAACCTAACAATGATATGAATATTCAGATCTGCTTCTTTTTCGGGATTTGACCAGACGGTCCATGTTGTTGAATTTTGTGAAGAAAACTCAATTCAACCAAGACCCACATGAATTCTTTCATTTGTCATACACTAGAACCCGGTGCTAAAAACATTTGTAGTTTATAAACTTGACTAATTAGTAATGGCAGAGAATAAAAAAATTTCAAGACATCAAAAAATTAGATACAACAAAATTTCATGGCCACTTAAAAGGTGAGAGTCTTACCACATTACAAATTAGTCAGCTCATGGCTTAGGTTCAAATGATATCAAAGAAGATTGCCAAAATCCCTGCATGAACATTGACCATTGACAAATCTGTGCAGGCACTTGCTATCTCGAATGATGATTTCCCTTTCAATACATACAGAGATGAATTTCATAAAATTATGGCAATCTCTACACGTGCTAATACTCTTAATAATCCGTATAGGGCCAGCATTTGGAGTGTTCAACAGCCCAAACGCAAGAGCCAATTTTTCACTATGATGAATAGTAGATAAAGTTATTTCTACATTCTCCTCATCCGTTATCTCTGAACTTCCTTGTGGTTCATATCCAAGAGTCCTTGCTTTCTCAAGCAAATCCCCCAATAATTTGTCCACCCCTTTGCATTGTTGATGCAACCGTTCATCACGCTTAAATGAATAAACCTTGTCTCTAATGCTAATCCAGCTCCAATCCTTTAATTTTTTGAGTTTTTTCTCTGTCATCGTTTTTCTAACCCGTGAAAAATCTTGCCATCTCCCTGCCGAGTGGTACATGTTTAACAACAATATATAAGTCTCATAATCTTTTGGATTAAGGCTGAGCAACTGTTCAGCAGCATACAACCCTAACTCTGAATTCCCATGACTCCGACAACCTGCAATGAAGGATGACCATATAAACGCATTGGGCTCAAGTTTCAACTTCTTAATATAATCAAAAGCTTCATCTAACCTGCCTATCCTTGCAAGCATATCAATCAGACATGCATAATGGTCGATCATGGGTTTGATTCTGTAGTCCCTTTTCATCATCTCAAAATAAGCCATTGCACTATCAACCATTCCGGCATGGCTACAAGCTGAAAGAACGCCCACAAAGGTGATCCTATTCGGTCTAACGCCTGCTAATCTCATATCCTCAAAAAGCTGCAATGCTTGTTGAGAGCGGCCATGTTGTGCAAAAGCCATAATCATGGAAGTCCAAGATATCAAAGTCCTTGTAGACATCTCCACAAAAGCTTTACTGGCTGCCCCAATGCTTCCACATTTATTATNATCACCACTGCCATCATATCACCACCATTATCACCGCCACCATTACCTTGAATCAATTTTGCTTTTTTAAGTAGTATTTTTTAAATTTCATAATCGTCTGAAATACTACTTTAATCATTACAAATATTATCCAAACGAGTTTAAAACTATCGAGGCCATAAAAGTACTGATAAAATGTTGCCTTGAGCAGTCACCAAAGTTAAACATAAATCACTGCAAATTGCTTGAAAAAACTTCACTCCACCTCATATGTATTTTTGACACGGAGACTTCTTAATTGTATTATTTAAAGAAAAATGTTATTTGAATCTAATTTGATGATCTAATCTAAGAACTTAATGATGTATAATTATTAGATTGGTTGTGAGCATCTAATGATTGCATTGTAATCACATTATTAGATCAATAGATTATGTCTCACAATAAGGTCTCTATTGTATTGCTCTTATTTAAAACTAGGGGTGCAACTTGGATTGGGCAACCCGATTTCAACTCAAAAAAATTAAGGTTTGGGTAAGAGTTTTTAATACTTGGGTTGGGCTTGAGTCAAAAAATCTCAACTCAAATTCAATTTGGATTGGGCTCGGGTTAAGGTTTCATGAACCCGAGTTCTACTCGAACTCGACAAATTAAAAAAAAATTATATATATATAAAGCATTAGCACTGATTTTTCATTTTTGTTCAATCGTTCTCTGTCTCTCTCGTTCTCTTTGTCTCTCTCGTTCTCTCAGCCTCTCTCGTTAAAAAGTTGGTTGAAGTTGTTGGTTGTTAATTTAGGTGAATATTATGTAATATATGTATTAGGTTTATGACAACAAACCTATTTTGGGCTCTACTCGAATTGAACCTGTGAAGTAACCCAAAATCATCAGTCCGAATTCAACCCGAGCCCACCCGAATTAAACTCGGGCAGTGCTCAGATTGAGTTTCCCAACACGAGGGAGGGTTAGGGTCGAAGATTATATATTTATGATTGAAGATTATATACCTAGAGTTGATTGTCCAACCCGTCTAAATTACACTCCTATCTAAAACTTAACAATGATATGAATATCCAGATCTGCTTCTTTTTCGGGATTTGACCAGACGGTCCATGTTGTTGAATTTTGTGAAGAAAACTCAATTCAATCAAGACCCACATGAATTCTTTCATTTGTCATGCACTAGAGCCCCGGTGCTAAAAACATTTGTAGTTTATAAACTTGACTAATCAGTAATGGCAGAGAATAAAAAATTTTCAGGACATCAAAAAATTAGATACAACAAAATTTAATGGCCACTTAAAAGGTGAGAGTATTACCACATTACAAATTAGTCAGCTCATGGCTTAGGTTCAAATGATATCAAAGAAGATTGCCAAAATCCCTGCATGAACATTGACCATTGACAAATCTGTGCAGGCACTTGCTATCTCGAATGATGATTTCCCTTTCAATACATACAGAGATGAATTTCATAAAATTATGGCAATCTCTACACGTGCTAATACTCTTAATAATCCGTATAGGGCCAGCATTTGGAGTGTTCAACAGCCCAAACGCAAGAGCCAATTTTTCACTATGATGAATAGTAGATAAAGTTATTTCTACATTCTCCTCATCCGTTATCTCTGAACTTCCTTGTGGTTCATATCCAAGACTCCTTGCTTTCTCAAGCAAATCCCCCAATAATTTGTCCACCCCTTTGCATTGTTGATGCAACCGTTCATCACGCTTAAATGAATAAACCTTGTCTCTAATGCTAATCCAGCTCCAATCCTTTAATTTTTTGAGTTTTTTCTCTGTCATCGTTTTTCTAACCCGTGAAAAATCTTGCCATCTCCCTGCCGAGTGGTACATGTTTAACAACAATATATAAGTCTCATAATCTTTTGGATTAAGGCTGAGCAACTGTTCAGCAGCATACAACCCTAACTCTGAATTCCCATGACTCCGACAACCTGCAATGAAGGATGACCATATAAACGCATTGGGCTCAAGTTTCAACTTCTTAATATAATCAAAAGCTTCATCTAACCTGCCTATCCTTGCAAGCATATCAATCAGACATGCATAATGGTCGATCATGGGTTTGATTCTGTAGTCCCTTTTCATCATCTCAAAATAAGCCATTGCACTATCAACCATTCCGGCATGGCTACAAGCTGAAAGAACGCCCACAAAGGTGATCCTATTCGGTCTAACGCCTGCTAATCTCATATCCTCAAAAAGCTGCAATGCTTGTTGAGAGCGGCCATGTTGTGCAAAAGCCATAATCATGGAAGTCCAAGATATCAAAGTCCTTGTAGACATCTCCACAAAAGCTTTACTGGCTGCCCCAATGCTTCCACATTTATTATACATGTTAACTAGAGCAGTTCCCACAACCACATCAGACAAAAACCCATTCTTAATAGTGATAGCATGAACTTGTTCACCTTGATCCAAGGCCACCAGACTACTACATACAGTTAGTACACTCGAGAAGGTAAAGAGATCAGGTTTCATGCCTGACCGATTCAATCTCAAGAAAATGTTAAGTGCCTCAATTCCACTATGGTGTGCTGAAAGACCATCCTCTGCAAAATCCATCATCTGGGCATGGCCTGCAATCATAGCATTCCATGTTACCAAGCTTGTTGTTTCCATTCCATCAAACAGCTTCTTTGCCTCACTAATCCATCCACATTTCAAGTACAAATACATAACAGAATTTATTACAGGTAAGTTCGATCCATACCCAACTTTAATGCTCAATGAGTGTACCTGTGATCCTACGCCCAAAGCCTGCATCACACAACATAAACTCAATATATTTGTCAATGTAAACTCATTTGGCTGGACTCCCATACATAGCATCTCAACAAACAAAGTAAAACCCATAGCAGAATCAGCATTATCACCACAAGCAGATATAGCTGTTGTCCACGAAATCACGTTCTTGTCCCCAATTCTCCAAAACGCTTTAACCGCAGAATCCAAACTACCACATTTGGAGTATAAGCTACAAAGGGCATTCCCAATACTGGTATCGAATTCGACTCCATATTTGACAATATAACCATGAACTTGCTTCCCCAATTTAATATCACACAATGAAGAACAAGCATTTAAAAAGATCCCTAAAGTTCTATTTGTCGGATAAGCCCCAGCTTCCAACATCTCTTGAAAAACATGAACTGCAAGATNTCTCTTCCAAAGACATCCCTTTTGAACGCAGAAACCAAGATCGTCGAACATCCTGCAAGCCTCTCCTGCACCATTTGGAATGGATTGAAAAAAAGTATGGGCTAAATAGATGTATGTTCTCTGGCTGGCCCTTTCTTAAGCCATAACTCAAATGATCCAAAGCAATCACGTTTTCACAGACTCCAACATCTTTGTTTTGGCCTTCCTCTTGTTCAACTTGAATCAAAGAAGCCACACAACTGGTCTATTGGTTGGACTACATTGCTATGACAACTAGGACATTCAGGTGTAGCACTGAGTTATAGAAGGATGCACACATTTACAATCTCTTTAAATTATTGCCATGATAAAAAAATCAAAAAAAATAAAAAGTAATGATATTAGTACGATGGCTAATTTCTACATATTTTACCACTGAAATTTAGGGTTGGCCAACATCACCATGACATAAAAATAGAGAGACATCATATAAATTGAAGAGTATGCATATATCCTTTCCGCTAACAATTTCTGCAGCTCATTAACTGATACCTACACACCAACCCCTACTACAGCTTCGCACCAGTCACANCAAACTAAATGGGTCAAAGGCTTTATCCAAATGGGTAGTGTTATAATTTCTCTGGTAATACAGAACAAGTAAAACCATGAACATTGAGCTATATATACACACAAAATTGCATTATGTACATGTATATTCCCTCCAATTCTAGTACAAAACAATGATATGAATCGATATATTTGGATAAAAATGGATTTCANATGTTGATGTAGTCCATCAGATGAGTGTCCGAAATGCAACATCTTTCTATTTACAAGCTAACTGCTCAACGCTATAGACTTTATAATAAAGATGATACGAGGTACCATTAAAACATTAACCAGAGTTAATTCTAGTATATTAAAATAAGTAGGGAAAAAGCAAACAAATGAACTAATAGCACAATTTTAACTTCAATAGTGCATGCCCAAAAAAGGACTAACCAATAAGCCACTTACAGACCTTACTGCAGACAAAATCCCTCAGTCCNAGGCAGAGCAGCCATGAAATTTGATACGTATGTATTGATTATATGAATTCAGATATGTATGGATTATAGGAGTATATGTGTGTTATGCTTCTTTAAAAAAATTCTTGAAGACTCTGCATATGCTGGAAATTATGTTATCTTCTCCAATTCTATCTTTAAGGATGAAATTGAGCTAGAAATCCTTCCCAGTAGTAAGAGGGCCTACGGTCATGATGTGGCCACGTCATCCGTGCCCACAAAAAGATGGTGACATGGTAAAAGATCAAGGGACTGTTGCATTTCGCGGGAAATGTTATGTGTAGCGTGGTGAGTTGCTGAATATGGGCCTGGCGTGGCACGGCCAGTTTATTATTTTGTTGGGTTGGATTGGTTTTTGGAATGGGTTCCGACAAGCGGCTGTGAATACCTATTGTAGAGTTTATTTGACTTTAAGTACTTTTTTTCAAATTTTTACTTCATGAAATCTTATTTTTCATCAAATAGTTGTCAATAATATACATTTTAAAATATTTCAAATTTTTTTTAAAATATATTTCATAATTACTTTTACTATAAATATTGTCTATCATTGTTAGTTTAAATATTTTCAAACGTAACAACTCTTAAATTAAAAATTGCACTACCATTAAAATTATATATATATATATATATATATATATAGATAGATATATAGATAATATTATTAAATAGTAACACGTTCAACAAAAAAATAGCAACATCAAACAGTATCACATTCAACAAAAAAATAATAACATCAAACAATAACACATTGAACAAAAAAATATATCACTCTATTGTAATGATTAAAATTTTAAATAAGTTTTTTATTGAGAATGTTAATGTTTAATGTTACGATTTTTTTGTTGAGCGTGTTACTGTTTAATATATATGTATAAACATAATTTTAATGCTAGCACAATTTTCAAGATATGAGTTGTTAATGTTGATACAATTTCCAATTTATGAATAGTTAGTTTTGACTAAATATAACTATTGAAGATATTTTGGACAATGAAGATCAAAATAAACTTATCCCCAAATAATTTCTTTTAGTATATTTAAGCCCAAATAAGTCTACAAAAAGAGACCGGCCTCCCCAAGCCCCTTCAAACGTATGATAGCCCAGAATAATTCTCCTTAAGCCAAAAAATGGGCCTTAAAGAAGTAATGTTATGTAAACTTTAGGCCCAAAACACCTTTTAATGTACATACACATGGAGTATGATATGTGTTATGTGCATATTTGTAATATAATTTTATGTAATATTAAAAAGTAATTGGTAGGAAATTATTTTAATAAGTGGGTTAGTGATAAGATATTAATGGATAATTTAATAGGTGATTATCTGTGGGGTAATCAAGTGTATTGGTTATCTATATAGTTATTTTCATTATGTATTTAAAAATCCCATTATTAATAAAATGGGTATGTTGAATATCTTGATAAAATTTCTTGTGAAATATAAGAGATTAAATTCGTTTCAAATTGAACCACCGAAGGTTTCCAACCCCCTCAAACAATTTTTCTTCCTCGATTCTATTTTTCANTTGTGAAATATAAGAGATTAAATTCGTTTCGAATTGAACCACCGAAAGTTTCCAACCCCCTCAAACAATTTTTCTTCCTCGATTCTATTTTTCATTTATTTTCTAAATTCCTAACAGTGCACATAACAATCTGTTTCCCAGTTCCAAAGTTTAGTTACACAACTTGCATGTGCCATAATTATTAGTTATACTACGAAAATCACTGTTACAAATCAAAGTGTTAATGCGATATCATAAGAAAGGAGAGTGGATCTCGGGTCGACAATCATTGCTAACAATCAAGAAAAAATGATAATTATTATAAATGGGAAGGATATTTAGAATTCAACAAGAAGGATGAAGGGGAAGACCCCATACTCCTGAACTCAAGTGGAAACAAAAGTGCTTTCATAGCGTCAGAGAATTATATACATTCTTGCATAAACTTAAACANGAAGGGGAAGACCCCATACTCCTGAACTCAAGTGGAAACAAAAGTGCTTTCATAGCTTCAGAGAATTTTATACATTCTTGCATAAACTTAAACTAGAANCACTGTTACAAATCAAAGTGTTAATGCGATATCATAAGAAAGGAGAGTGGATCTCGGGTCGACAATCATTGCTAACAATCAAGAAAAAATGATAATTATTATAAATGGGAAGGATATTTAGAATTCAACAAGAAGGATGAAGGGGAAGACCCCATACTCCTGAACTCAAGTGGAAACAAAAGTGCTTTCATAGCGTCAGAGAATTATATACATTCTTGCATAAACTTAAACAATTTATTCACATGCAACAAAGATGTAAGCCCTAGTTGGTTTCCTCGGCATGCAGCAGACTAGAAATTTTATACTCTTCTTTGCCTCTATCAATGTGAGAAGGCGTCCCATGCTAATGACCCTGTGGCAACAATTTGCACGTAAAACAATCAGGTGAGAAGGATTCACAAGGTGAATGGATCTACTTAATGGAACTATCATTTTACACAACCCATGGTCGATCTAAAAGTGATACAAATGTAGCCATAGAAATTCATTCTAATTTATATTTTACATCAAGTTCCAAATATAGAAGTTCTTTCATATCAAGAAAGCAAAAATCAACAAAGATTTTGACACAAAGAGCACAGAGTATTGCATAGTAAACTCAACTAAGAGAAAAATGAAATAAAGCATATATATGAAATGACACTAGGTACGTATTGCCACAACAGTGTCAATATATGATGACACAAATGAATATCTCATACTGCAAGAAACTAACATTCTAAGACATAATTTATGCATCAAACCACAATCTTTGATCCTCGATAAAACAAGAGGCATACACTGACCTCATGGAAAACTGTATCATCAACAAAATAATGATTTCTCATGCCTTCTGTTGAACAATTTAAAGATAATAATCTGAAGGCTCCGGTTCAGAAAGTGCACAAGATGCAACAACATACCTGCCACTGTAAAGAGAGTTGTTCATTTATTGTATTTCATTGTTTCTTTCTCAAAACCAATTGTAGGGAATTGCTTTGCATATTCCTCAACATCATGGCGGAGCTTCGCAATATCAGACTGAATATGGGCATCTGACTTCATAGTTGCCACAAAGTCCTTCAACTTAGTTCCTGATTTCATCATAATCCAAGTTAGCGCATTGTAAGCATACAACTACGTTGGCCAAGACAACTCCAATAACAAACCATCATCTACATGGATGTTAATCTGCACTTCAGAGATAATACAAGAACAAAGAACCTTTAGAATCAGCCTTGATCTTCAAGGCCAACTTCACAGCAGCATCAAAGAACTCAGCTACTTTAACAAAATCCTCCTCAGTAAATCCCCTAGATGTGAGAGCCGGGGTTCCTGAATCACCATGTAAAGGGGTCTTTTTTAACTAGAAGTAACATCTTTAATATGAGTAAGGTACCAGATAATCAAAAAAGACTTTACCCATCCGAATGCCACCAGGTACCATGGCAGACACATCCCCAGGAACAGTGTTTTTATTAGCTGCAATGTGCACTGACTCCAAAACCTTTTCAACTCTGGAACCATCAATACCCTGCAAACAAGAAGTGCTAAAATGATTTATGACGTGATAAAATCAACAAATATTTAAATTTTCTACAAAAGAATGTAGAGTTTGTAGAATTTGAGATGCCTCTTCTTCAATAATGTCTATCACTTTGGACAGAAATAGGTTGAAAAACAAAATCCAACCACATTTGCAGTGATGGAACTATATATCCTTGTCAGTAACCCCCTTTCAGACAGCATAAGTATCAACAGCAAAGCAGTTTTATAGTAGGACCTTCCATTAATATAGGATTGCCCATCATTTTGCGGAAAAATTCCAAAACAGCAGGTGGAGAGTTTATTGCAAATGCTCTTGTGCGATATGTTAAATGAATAATCAGTACTCTTACTTAGATGATCCAACCTCCTTGATACCACTCTTTCGAAGAGTTAAATTGAACTCCCAAGTAATAAATAAATAAATAAAATTATCAAGTCAATTCTTATTAAAAAAATGTGAAGCAAAAAAGTTTCCAAAGAAAGAACTATGTATTGCTGTTTTACCTTGTTTTTTAAATTTACCAAGACCAGATGATTTTCAGTTCCACCAGACACAAGTTCATAGCCATGCTCTAACAAAGTCTGCAAAATAAGTGGACTTTTAGAAGAGTAAAATATCACACCAAACTAAGCCAGAAATAAAAAATATAGACAACGCCGACTACTAGTGAAAATCACCAATGCAAACGAAGATTGGCATATTTGATTGATGTAAGAATAAAAAGTTAGAAAGGTAACCCGAAAGCAGTACCTGAGCAAACACTGAGCAATTACTAAGAACTTGCTCTTGATATGCCCTGTACTCTGGTGTCATAGCCTACAATCATAAATTATCAGAGACAGTATAACGATATCCAAAATGACATCCAAAATAAGCTGTTCCATTAACCTAAAAAAACACAAAAATTTGTGAAAGACTATTAACCTGTTTCAGCGCGACCGCTAAGGCAGTAATAGTGTGATTATGAGGACCACCTTGAAGTCCAGGAAAGACAGCTTGATTGATTTTGTCCTCATAGTCATACATCACCTGTAGGATGGAGTTTGGGATTAGAACTTATTCACCATACACTAGAAAACTTCAGCTTCAGCGACCCAGAAATGACTAGAAGAATACTTCTCCCAAATGTTACTGAAGCACAAGTGATTTCTTTTTTCTTGTGTTGTGTTTATTTTTTTGTTTTACTTTCATTCATATGTCACGAGATCACAACTCACTTCTTGCCCTTGTTTGTTAATCTCTTTTACCCCCTTCCTGAAGAATATCATTGCCCCACGTGGTCCACGAAGTGACTTGTGTGTTGTGGTTGTAACAACATCTGCGTATTCAAAAGGAGATGGGATCACACCAGCAGCAACCAACCCACTAATGTGTGCCATGTCAGCCAACATGACGGCTTTCTGTTTGTCACAAACCTGCAAATTCATCCAGTAGACATCTCATGATTTCTAAACATTTAATTTGGGGATACCGAAAAGGAAAGAAAGAAATCTGAATTTGACAATGAAAATGAAATTACATTAAAAGAATTTACCTTGCGGATACGTGCATAATCATATAACCGTGCATAAGCACTTGCGCCAGCAACAATTAATTTTGGCCTGAAAAGTGTGGCACTTTTCTCCAGCTGCAATTGCACAAGTGGACTTTTTATTTAATAGTAGCTGAGCTGAAATTAATTCAAGAACAGAAATATAGAAGTACAACTTAACCAGTTGACTACTTACCGTCACCCAGACACACAAGACCCAAGAAAAAAGGACTCATGATAACAGAAACTAGACAGGAAAAACAAATTAAAGCTTATTCAGACCATGTAGTTACTTGAACCCGAGATTTAGACTCAAGTTCTTATTCAGACCATATAAGCTTATTCTGGTTCTAAAAAGCAAGATCAACAGCCCACTACAATTAAAATGTGGTCATAGGTGTTATATTGGAATGCAAACACAATGTTTGCAGAATTTGTTAATGTCTGGTAAAAATAAAATTGTGCTGTATATATGCGTGCATTGTGAGGGGTGTGTGTGTGAGAGAGAGAGAGAGAGGAGGGAACCCATGCAGAGTTCACAGTTAATGGCACAAAAGGTCAAAGTCACACCATTAGAAAAACACTCCGCCATACCATTGCAAGGCTACTGCTTGTTCATAGTATGAAGCCAGCAGCAGCAACATCAATGACTATAGAGTGCATTATAAGCCCCTGAGGTTACGTAGTCGCAGTCATCTAAGAGCACAAATAGATCACAGAAAAATTTGGAACAAAATGCACCTTGAGCAAGTTGACAATTCTTCGGCAAGTTACACAGATATAAGACAATTTTATTTCAGTCTTTATTCCTTCTTTGATTTCTGAATTGCCGTGGCCTTAGCAAGAGTACAATTGCAAACAAGTAACAAACTATGACACATGCTATTAAACATATTACATACCATATGAACTTATGAAGCAAAGCTTCAAAAAGCAACAAGAAGGTCCGTAGAGGAAACAACAAGGTACCTGGTCATAGTCAATATAACCGCTGCTCTCATCCAATCTGTAGGGCATAGTCTCAAAAAATATTGATACAGCAGATATCTTCTTGGTGTCAGTCTGACAAACAGCAAAAGAGGACGAAATTAGTGTATAGCAATACATGTTACCAAATCTCCCTCCCATAGGTTAAAATGACATTAGTTTTGCACCTGATAACCATGTGAAAGGTGCCCACCATGGGGAAGATCAAGTGCCATAATTCTTTCGTGAGGTTTCAAGAGTGCAGTATAAACTTGAAAGTTAGAAGGGGATCCAGATAGTGATTGCACATTAACTGCGAGAGAAGCCGTTGTTCAAAATACAACCACTTCAGAAGATGCAGAGAGCACAGGTACTGTGATTTCCAATTTAAAACAACTGTATGACTTTCATATCCCTGTTTCTCAAGATTTAAATTTTCTTTTTTTTTTACAAAAAGAATACAGTGATACTCTTGAGATTATCCTAAAGGGCCAATAGTTTTGGCTCCCATTTTTCATTTTTGTTCAGTGAGGTGCAGACAATGGAAGACAACCAAAACCAAAAATATTATTTCACCGGGTAATTGGACAACATAAGAACATGTTATAAGAGAGGTCTCCCAGTATTAAAGGGCCAAGATGATATTGTGACTATTAAAACAATTAACAAGCTAATTATAGGAATATAGGGCTATGGGTCAGTAATGTTGTTCTCAGCATAACTTCAAAATCATAAGAAAGTCACTATTTCACAGAAATATACCAAAGGTCAGCAGACAAAGTGAAAACATATATAATTGAAGGTTTAATTTCCAGAATCATGAATTATGTTCAAAACACACTTACCTCCCCATTTTGCAGGATCCAACTGAAAAGCTTCTAATGCACGCTTCTGACACAATGTCTCTGCCATATCGATATACCTTGATTGTATAGTTTTAACATTAGTAATAAGAACTAAATCATGAAATGATGGGCTTAAAACATAATAACTTAACACAACATGATGGCATTATATTCTTTTTGGGAAAAAATATTTAGAGTGGCTTCCCGTACTCATTTCCTCCATAGTATCTGGCACCAGGATACCCCTCACTGTATTTATTGGTCATCACGGATCCAACCGCTTGCATCACTGACAACGATGTAAAATTTTCCGAAGGTATGAGTTCAAGTCCCTACATTTACAAGTTTTCGAATTCTTAATGATAAGCTAAACTTCAAATCTTTACTACACAAACAAAGATTAAAGAAACATTCGAATATATACATACAAATATCATCTAAAAATACAAAAATTAAAAAGGTGTACATGTACCTTCCATTGCCTGGCCTTTTCGAGCTCGATGATGTCAGCAATCTCTGGATCGACCTCTTCGAGTGGAGCATTCAATTGTTTAGTCCACTGTGAATGAAATTCAAAAGAGCAAGCAATATTTAAACCTAATTATCAAAACAAGATCTAATAACCATAAATCTAGCAACAGGAAGAAAAAAAAACGCAACTTGCAAACCAAAATTTAGAGTTTCAGACGGAGAAGAGAGATCGATTACCGTTATACGAGAATTTTCCTTTTCGCCAACGGCGTGATTCGGCAAAGAAGACTGTTTAAGAGATCAAAAGAACACACACATATAAATAAACATACATATCTGAAAGTGAATATGAATGGAATAGATTGAGAAGTTCATAGACATAAACAAACCATGTAATGGAGGGAAACACCATTAGAGAGAGGACGAAAAGGCTTAATGGAGGATGAGGAAGCCAAGAGTCTGCGAAGTGCCATTGCCATCTCTCTCTCTTTCTGACTCTGCTTCTTAGATCTCTTTCCCAGGCACTTTGGTATTGGGTGTGCAGAGTGAGTGGATGGGTTGGTGGTGATGTGCCCTTTAAAACAAATGTAGAAAATGAAAGGAGCTTTGATTGTAGAATACTACGAAATTACAAAACACCAAACACTGTTGGCCCTCGAACATTTGCATGTAACTCGGAAGAGGTGCCGTATTTAATGTAATGGTTATATTATATTATTATCATTAAAATAGTGTCATTAACTAATAAAATAATTTCAATAACAAAAAAAAAATTAATAAAATAATTTACTTTCTTTTGGGGAATAAATAATTTTTTACACAAATAGAATAATAATTCCTTTGATTTACTTGAAATTGAGCTCGATACAAAGCATAATATAAAAATAAGTCGAGTTAAATTTATGATATACCTTAATAGTTGAGCTGAACAAGAATTTAGATTAAAGTCCTTGATAATCAAATAGAGTCGAATTTAAGAGTACAACAAATTAAAAAACTTATCTTGATTAACGCTCTCTAAAAATAATCAAAATATGGCAGCCCAAAATAAATGTACACATAATCATAGATGTTGACAGCCCAAACTAAGAAAAAAAGAAGGATGGTTATAGACCTTTGAACTAGGTGTTGGTGTAGGTACAGGACAGAGAGTAGATAAATCTTTATAGTATCTCCTGGGATTAGCTAAAAAGGGTTTGTTAAAGCGTCTCAAACAAATGTTTCAAATGTCAAAAATGGGCAAATTTTAACTAATCAAAGTCAAAAATAACACTCCAACAGATTATATTTATATGTTGTGAAAAATATTTTTGCTACAGTGATGCTATNAAAAAGAAGGATGGTTATAGACCTTTGAACTAGGTGTTGGTGTAGGTACAGGACAGGGAGTCGATAAATCTTTATAGTATCTCCTGGGATTAGCTAAAAAGGGTTTGTTAAAGCATCTCAAACAAATGTTTCAAATGTCAAAAATGGGCAAATTTTAACTGATCAAAGTCAAAAATAACACTCCAACAGATTATATTTATATGTTGTGAAAAATATTTTTTTTACAGTGATGCTCTAAATATAGAATATCACTGTAGTAATATGTAAACATAATATATATTATTTTCTCTCTTTTCCTCTCATTTCTTTCGTTCTTTTTCTTTCTCTCTTTCACTATTCTCAAAAAATATAATACAAAAGGGATGATAAATAATATTTAAAAGGATAGTTAAAAATAAAGAGAATCTGTTGTTGGAGTGTATATTGAAAAAATGAGTAGTTAAAATAAAAAAAATTACTTTTTGCATAACTAAAATAACTATTATTGTTAGAGATGCTCTTAACNATATGTAAACATAATATATATTATTTTCTCTCTTTTCCTCTCATTTCTTTCGTTCTCTTTCTTTCTCTCTTTCACTATTCTCAAAAAATATAATGCAAAAGGGATGATAAATAATATTTAAAAGGATAGTTAAAAATAAAGAGAATCTGTTGTTGGAGCGTATATTGAAAAAATGAGTAGTTAAAATAAAAAAAATTACTTTTTGCATAACTAAAATAACTATTATTGTTAGAGATGCTCTTAGCTATTTTAGATAGCTAATCTATAATTTTTGGCTCTAACCGGCTAGCTAACTCACTCAATATTACCCATTTTGTTAAATAGGTTCACTGAATCTGGCGAAAGAAAGAAGCTAGCTATCCGGTGTACATCCATCGTCTTCATCACAGCAAANCTAACCGGCTAGCTAACTCACTCAATATTACCCATTTTGTTAAATAGGTTCACTGAATCTAGCGAAAGAAAGAAGCTAGCTATCCGATGTACATCCATCGTCTTCATCACAGCAGATCGTCTTCATCCGGCATACATTCATCATCCTAATCCAGTACAGTCTTCACATCATCGTCTTTATCACAACTTGAATCACAAGTGTGTTCGACTTCAACGGAGGTGGGTTTTCACCATCATCCATCCATCTGTGAGATTTTTCAAACTGGGTTTTTAATTTTAAAAATGGATTTTGGAGATCGAGAGAGTTTGGAAATGAATTTTTGATTTTGGAAATGGGTTTTTCTAATTGTTTGCTCAGATTCTTGATCACATTTTGAGAAGACGAAGAACTGAGGTAGTAAAAAAATCTAACAAAATTCTCTAAAAATTCAGTAAAACTCTTCTAAAAATCTAACAAAATTCCCAAAAAATCCAGCAAAATTTCCAAAAAATCTAGCAAAACCCCTCGAGTATTTTATGATATTTATTTTTGTAGCCCATAAATGATTAAATTTATACAATGTATATTTGAATTTCTATTTTTTTTATTTTATTACTACAAGTTAGTTAATGTTAGTTGAAGTGGTTAGTTAAAATAGATAGTATGATTGAAGTGAATTTGAAAAAATAGTTAGTTAAAGTAGACAAAATAATATTTAAATATATTTTGAGTAGTTATTTTAGATAGCATGGTTGGAAATGCTCTTACCGACTAAATTAAAAAAGACATGACTATGGTAGCCATAAAAAAAAAAATCCATTACCATACCTGAAAAATTTATTTATTTAACGAGTATTTTTATAATTTTTGTATATCATTTTATAATTAAAAAATTTATTACTTCTATGGATAATTTATAATTTTGTGATAATTATTTTTATTACTTTTTTTTTAGTACAAAAAAAAATTATTACTTTTTTGGTAATTATTTTTATCTTTTTTTTTTATATCATAACAATGATAAAAATACGAACAAATATCTATATATACTACTAATAAAAGTATCTTAAGATGAAAAACTTTTGAATCTCTATTTTACCCTTATGTAGGATTGCAAAAACCACTCTATTCAATTCACAAGTAAATATCTAAATTACTATCATATACATATGTATTTAAATCTCTATATTATTTGTAACATTTTTTTTAATTATCTATTCTCTATATATAAATATTAGTTTCTATAAAAAAAAATCAATGATTATATTACCCTTAAAAAAATATGCATCATTATATTTTCTATAAAGTGTTCAAAAAACCTTTAAAAATTTCATCAATATAATGTTACTCATCTTATATGCAAAGATAACATTATACCTACGTATGCATATTTTTTCCTTTTCATCGAAAAATTTAAACATTTTATTTCTAATTTAAAAAATAATCATATATATAATTTTTTTTAAATCAATTTACATTACATCAGTATAATTCTTCAATTACAATAGAATTTTTAAGTTGTACTACGATTTTATGTAAAAATAGACATTGTAGTGTATTTTTAAGTAAAATTTTAATTTTTTAGAATTTTAATATGTTTGATAATATATATTATATTATATAGTAGTATGTTAAATTTTATCCTAATTGATTTAACTAATTTTTAATTATAATAAGGTTTCAATGTGATTAGTATATTGACAATTATTTTTATTTTATTTAAGGAATTATAAATGGAATCTTAATCAAATGAATTTCAAGAAATTTAATTTCTCAAGCATCACTAAAAAATTAACCTCAATCAAATTTTATTTTTTTTTTTAAAAAAAGAATTGTAACTATTTATTTTCGCTTTTTATAGTTATAACAAAAAATTTGAGAAATATAAAAAAATTTCATAATCTTATAATAAAATATGAGTAATGAAAAATTAAGTTTTATGAATTTGAAATGATATTTAATTTAAACACATATATACATAATATATTTATTAATTTTTATGTGCAAAAATTATTTATGTGCATCGCAGGCGGTGTTTTGCTAGTAATAAATATGGGATTCTCATTTCTCCCTATGGGGAAGCACTCGTCATGGAAAAATATTAGTTCCTCGCTGCATATATTGCATGACCAAATATTTTGCGTTTAATAAACCTACTTGAATTTAATTTATTAATATAATTTAATTACTTCATTAAAACGATATTATTGAATTGACTATAAATTATATCTAATATTAGAATATACCGCTAATCCGTTGAAAACATGAATTACATTAAAAATTAAATTCAAGCAGCACTAATTTTTACATTAATAAATTGTGTTTGCAATGGATTAATAAATTTGGGGAAGGATTTGATCAAAACCAAAATATCGTTTCGAAACGATTGAAATATTTTTCATTTTTAAGAAGATTAAAACAAATTAATAATTGAATCAAAATTTCAATATTTTAAGGTGTTTCGAGATATTTTGGAATGTTTTGAGTTATTTCGAGATGTTTCAGCATACTTTCACCAATGTTTTTAAAATATTTTTACCAACTTTTTAGAATATTTTAAGGTATTTCAAGATATTTAGACTATTATTTTTGAAATATTTTGAAAATAAATTTATAATTTTTTTATCCGTTTTCATTATATATTTATTTGACATATTTTTTGATTGCGGGTGTGCCAAATTTTGATTTGACTTAAAATTCAAACACGTATAACTTTATCTATTCAAATCGATGTGAGATTATAAAATCGTGACTGTTCAGATGATGTAGCAAGACATAAGATTATCTATGAATTTTTTCCTATACATTAGCTATTAATGATTTAAATAATTTTTCAACTTGAAACATAATGGACCGGAATGTAAATACAACATGAATGTAAAGTACCACATAAACTAAACTTCGAAGACGAAAATGTTATTGTACTTAATATTAAATGAAAAATGATAAAAATCACTGGAGTGATGAGTTATAGGTAAAAGCAAAGTAAATTTACTGGGAAGTAAAAATAAGTCGAAGAGAAACTAACTTTGTCTAGAGTTTGTTGTACTTGATCAAGTATCATTCTTTGTAGTCTGGCTCTTATTATTTATAGGAATGTCATTCAACTGTCAAAGCCATTTTTTTTTACCATGATTGTAAATATTTTTTTTTTCCTTGAAATGTGCTAATGATGTCACGTTCCTCCGCTTCTACGAATTTTTAGACTCCTACTTCCTTAAACACTTTGTTAGGTATGAACTCTCACACTATTTCATAACTATCAAATTATTTTCACTTGTCAGATTTTACTATTTTTTGGTATAAATAATTTTCAAAATATTTTAATTTCTTAGATGACCAAAACAATGTGCA